AGTGGTTTGTATCACTGGCGTTGCTTTCATCCGTGTCTGTGTTTCTGCTCACATGCGCCACCCCGTTTTCCTTGTGCTGTTCTTCTCGTACAGTTCCTGCAACGCTCCAACCTGATCACAGACGTGAGTGTGGATGGGAAGAAACTGAAGAAGCAGCAGCAGGCGTCCATGAAGAAGAGGAAGAAGGAGGCGAAGAAGAACGTCAGGAACCCAGCCGGCAGCCTGCGCAGTCGCGGCTCAAGCATCAAGATGCTCTGATCAAACCTTGCGCACACACACGCACGCACAATGCTGGTTGTGGACTTCCTTGCGGACTGCCTCTACTGTTCTCTTGCCTTATGTTATTGTTGATATGTTGAGGTGTGCGTGGAGGAGAGTGGGAGAGGGGACAGACAGCCAGTGAGCCTGCTATAGACGCGCACAAAGAGCAGGCAAAAGGCCAAAGCCATCACATCACGTGCGTGTCACCATCATCCATCATCATCATGAATCAACAACAACACACAACACAAACAACCCGAAACGATGAGTGAACAGCAGCACAACAACGTGCAGCGAGGCAGCAGTGGTGGTGATGGTGATGGTGGTGGACGCAGGGTGGGGAGAAGTGGTGGTGGTGGTGGTGGTGGCGGCAGTCAGGATCGTGACTTGGTGGTGGTGACGCTGAGCGACCATGACGATGGCAGTGGATGGGAGTCGACGACAGATGACAGCGACCTGCAGCCGCAGCGCAGCGCACCCGCAGAGATCAACTTCATGCCACCAACCACTGGCAACAGCAATGGCGAAGGCGATGATGACGGCGACGGCGGTGGCGGTAGCCGCGGAGGCGCCAGCCACAAGCACACCAACAACACAGCTGACGTCTTCAAAGATGCACGCGAGGAGGCGCAGCAGCAGCAGCAGCAGCAGCAGCAGCAGCAGCAGCAACAACAGCAGCAGGGATCACAGAAGCACACGCGAAGGGGTCGGCGCCGTGGCCACTCCGATCGGCAGCGATTACGGCCACAGGCGCGGCCGCAGGGCAGGCGGCGGATCGAGACCATGCGCAGCCGGGCGCTGCGCGAGCTGCACTCCATGCACCGAGACAAGGGCAGCAGCGGGGAAGAAGACAGTGAAAGTCATCACCACCAACAACACCAGAGCAACAGCCCCAGCCGTGATGGTCCCGCAAGCCACGGCCGCAGGCTCGTCCACAGCAGCTCCACGCCGTCTGGCAACGAGGACCCACACCGCCAAGCCCCGCACGCTGGTAGCGGTGGGGACGGTGGAACCGGGCGCCCTCGAGCCAACAGCTACACCAGCGCTGTGCATGGCGACGGCGACGCTTCTGGCACGAGTGAAGGAGACATCCGCATGGACACAAGCATCTCCGCGGAACACCTGACCATCCCAAGCCAGCGCCAGCGCGGTCGCAGGCGGTACCTGAGCCGCGACGATGCACTGGCTGCATCACAGGACGAACGCGGACGCAGCCGAAGCCGAAGCCGAAGCCGGCGCAGCAGCTCGGGCAGCCAGCGCCTTCCTCCGCGCAGCCCAGCCACGCGCCGGTCGCAGCTGCTGCGTGCAGCCGGAAACCAGCCAGACTTCAGCCGGCAGAACCTGCACCGCCTCTTCCGCATCTTCGACGCCGACAACGACGGCTGCCTGAAGCACTCGGAGTTCAAGTCGGGCCTGCTGGCCATGGGCCTGAAGGAGGCGCGTGACAACATGGCCGTTGGGCGGCTGATCGAGGCCATTGACGTGGAGGGCGATGGCACCATCCACGAAGACGAGTTCATCACCTTCTTCAGGCAAATCAAGATGGATCAGCTGCAGGACCACCTCACGGAGTGGCAGGCCGCCATGCCAAGCTCGGTTGAGGTCGTCTCATATAACCCCTACGACAACACGTCCTCGACCACAGACATCCCCGGCAACGGCATCCTTGAGTGGCTGAAGAGCAGAGACAAGCGCAAGGGGCCACACGCCTTCCAGCGCGACTGGGTCATCATCAAGGGATACAACGATACCATCACGCAGGTGCTTGGCCTGTACCTGCACATTCACGAGGAGACATACCAAGATGTCGTCACCTTTCAGCGTGACAAGATTGAGATTCTCGAAGCCGAGAACCATGAGGGCTGCATCGCTCAGGTGCGTGTTTGTGTGATTGTTTGTCCACCTGTCTGTGTCTGTGTCTGTGTCTGTGTCTGTGTCTGTCTTTGTCTGTGTCTGTCTGTCTGTGTGTATGTTGAAGTCTGATCATGGCTGCTTCCTGTATGTCTGTCCTCTAACCGCCTTCTCTCATATGGACCAACTCACACTACCCTTGCTCCTCCTCACAGATGCTGATGAGTGTGTACACACTTGACAACTCGCCCTTTCTCCATGGCCATTCCAAGTACGACCCGGGCCTCAGCCTTCGCCGCGACTACCGACCGGTATAAACACTCACTCACACACACACACACACACACACTCACTCACTCACTCACTCACTCACTCACTCACTCACTCACTCACTCACTCACTCACTCACTCACTCACTCACTCACTCACTCACTCACTCACTCACTCACTCACTCACTCACTCACTCACTCAATCAATCACTCTCCCACACACACACACACACACACACACACACTCTCTCTCTCTCTCTCTCTCTCTCTCTCTCTCACACACACACACACACACACACTCTCTCTCTCTCTCACTTACTCACTAACTTATTCACACACACTCACACTCACTGTCGCTCTCTCTCACCCCTACTTGCATGGCTGCCTGTCTCAACTGCTCACTGATCACCCATGCGGTGTGCTTGTGCGTGTGCGTGTGCACGTGCGCCGTGAGCAGGATGCGGCACGTCACACGCGGTCAAACACACATTCTGACAGCCAATCCGGACTGGCTGCCTTCTTCACAAAGAAGTCAGTCATGCCACAAGCATATTGGCCAGCGTGCTTCCTTGCCTTGGACCTGTCCACGCTCTAAACCGCCTATCCTTGCCCGTGTACACACACTTTCACGCATCCACGCCATTTTACACACACACACACACACACACACAAACACATGCTGGCTCACGCACCGTTCTTCGTTTGCTTGTCTCCACCCGCGTGTGTCTGCCTGCCCTGTTCACATTGCATGCACAGCTTCTGGCCCGGTGAGTCACCTCTCGTTAGCAAGCGTCACCTGAGTGAATTCCCGCCTCTCATCAGCTCGCACCCGCTCAGTAACATTATCGTCAGCGACACCCTCCTCATCACCATTGTTCGGTGGGTGTGCTCCATGATCTTGTGCGGCTGTGCCCGTCTCTTTACATCGCTTTGTCGGCGCCTCTCAGTACCGCGTGTGAGCGCATCACCTTCACACCACACCTGCTATGCAGCCAGCGCATGAAGACCCGTAAACCCGATGTCCTTCGCCGGCCACAACCATATCTTCTCACGGCTGTGTGTTTGTGTGTGTGTGTGTGTGTGTGTGTGTGTGTGTGTGTGTGTGTGTGTGACTGTCCGTCTGTGTCTGTGTGCATGTGTTCAGTGATCCTGAAAGCGAGGAGCTGGACGAGAATGAGCCACCGGTGCCAAATCCTGTCTATGACGTCTTGGCAGAGGTCCGCGGTCAGATTTTGCAACACTTCTCAGGTCAGCGCGCTTCCTTCGTCCGTCTGTCTGTCTGTCTGTGCCTGTGTATGTGTATCCGTTGGCCACACTTGTTGCACGCTCCCTACCAACCTCGTTGCCGCTGTCTTTACCTGCTTGTTGCTGAGTGACCATCGTATCATCGCACACACGTTTCGCTTTGTCAACTGTGTGGAGTGCAGATGTGTTGACTGGCAATGCAAAGTATCTCAGCTATCTCATTCTGGAAGCCGTCACAGAGGAGAACTATAACCTCCGCGATGCCCTCAAGGTGAAGCACACCTTGTACATACCTCGCCTCGATTCAGCTCACATATCGTGTGCTGTCATTCGTGCTTCGCACACTTGAATGCATGTGTGCACGCGTTGCGTACTGCTGCGCTTGTTTGGTGCAACTTTAGAGCTGATAATAGGCCATTTGGCTGTGCTTCTTGCCTATTCCTCACTCTTCACTGCAGACATGGCTCGGTGTCATCGATGATGGCATCTCTGACAGACCGCAATCCATCTATCGCGCCCACCTGTGTACGTCGCACCGCTGCATTTGCATGTCTGTCACTCTGCCTGTGGCTTTGCCGATGTCTTGCACTTTTGTATGGACGTGTGTGTGTGCGTGTGTGTTTGAGAGGCACACAGACAGACAGACACACACACACACACACAGACAGACAGACAGACAGACAGACAGACAGACAGACAGACAGACAGACAGACAGGGAGAGAGCGTCAGTTTGCCGTGTGTGTTTGTTAGTGTTAATTTGCCATGTTGGCAACTCATTCCACGCCTGTGCGTGGGGCTTGCGCGACATTTACCTGTGCAGTCGATTTTGCCAAGATTGCCACCGCCTACACCCGCGAGATGTCTGCTCTGAAAGAAGTGCTGACGCAAAACCTGTGGGACAATGACGACGCCCAGCTCACCCAATATTTTAGCGAACAGGTGAGTGCTGTGCAGGGTGTGGCGAAGCACTGCAATGCTCTCTAATGCTCGTCGCAACACTCAACTGACTCTTTGCACACGCACAACGTCCACAATCGCTCACACACACATGCACACACACAAACACGCTTGCGACAGGCGGTGTATTTTCGGGATTTGAGCGATCAACTTGGTTCGATCGTGAGCGAGTTGGAGGAGATGCAAGAAGTCATTCAAAATCTGTTTCAAGTCTATCGTGTAAGCGTTCACCTCCGCCACTCATGTTGCCGTGTATTGGCTGCCGTGGTGGTGTTTGACCTGCCACAACGAGCGGCTCATTGCCCCCACACTCTACGTCACGCTTTGTCCAAGCGGCACAACTGTTTGCCCCGTGCCATATGTTCTCACATCCTCGCACGCTCTCCCTTGACAGAGCTACCAAGATGAGAAGATGAACAGCTTCCTCCTTCTCCTCACCATCGTCACCGCCGTCTTCATTCCGGCACAATTCCTCACGGGCCTGTGGGGCATGAACTTTGATGAGGTCTGTGCATGTGCCGCCATGACAGCGTGTATGAGCGCATGCGTTGGTTTCTTCGTATGCACGTGTGGATTCATGGTGTGCTGCTTCCCCACTGCTGTGTTTGTGGCTGTGTCTGTGTCTGTGTCTGTGCCTGTGTCCGTGTGTGCCTGTGTCCCTGTGTGCCTGTGTCCCTGTGTGGCTTGTTGTTTATGTGTGTGACCTGCCTTTACGCCATGCCATCCCCCACTTGGTGTAACTTGTGCTCGTCCCTTCCAGTTTGACTCGTTCTGTCTGTGATTTGACGCGCGCCCTCACCCGGTCCCTCTTCCTCTTGCTTGTGTGCATCCACAACCTCAGATGCCTGAGCTGCACTGGAAATATGGCTACCTGATGTTCTGGATGCTGGTTCTTGTCCTGACAACCATCGTTCTTCTCTGGTTCAGAATCAAAGGCCTCTGGCTGCTTGATTAGTTGCCCATGTAAACGCATGTCCGGGGGGGTGTGTAGATGTGGATGTTTGCACCCCTGTGTCAATCTGGCTGCCTCTCCGCGTGTCTGTCTGCCTATCTGTCTTTTCTGTCTTTCCGTCTGTCAGTGTCAATGGGTGTCTAGCTGTCTCGTGAATGACCCATACCCATCATGATTGCAGGTTCTTTCTTATGTGCATGTGTGTGCTGGTGTACAAAGCACGGTTGGTTGTACATGGTGCGATGCTTGCCGTGGTCTTTGTGTGGATTTGGCGCTGTTCATTACACTTGCCTCAACGAAACCACTCACTCTCCTTTTAATTCACAAGCAATACATCTCCTTTAGGCATCACATCACATCTTTGGAATTAGGCCAAACAGACACAATTATGCACAGTACCCCACGTGCACACAGAACGACCATGCACACTCGCTCGCCCACGTGTACACACACACACACACATACACACACACGCACACACACACACACTCTCTCTCTCTCTCTCTCTCTCAACTCTGACGTTGTCACTCGCATCACACCCAACACCAACAACAACGACAACAACAACAACCACTAACAACAACAACAACAACAACTATGCACACACACACACGCACACACTGCATCATCTCTCAACCACATCAAGCATTGCCGGTCGCAGGCTGGTTCACTGCACGCAACTGCTCTTTCACCAGCTCCACCAACTCTCGCAGCTTCTCGAACGAGGTGCCGTAAGGACAGTAGCTGATCCCCGATTGTTTGATCATGTCATGCGAACGCTCGAGCGTGGCCACGGCCGAGAGTTTTGGGTGTCTGCGCGAGACATCACACAACACCGCAGCAACAGGCTGTATGCCCACTCTACCCAAGACGAGGAGGGACAAGCTGACACAGCCTGCGAAGATTTCGCCACCGGTGCCCATGAAGCGCCTCACAATCTTGATAAACGCCTTTATGGGGCGAGTCGCCACGAACTCCAGTGCGTTGGACTCCCCCCGACCGCCCATGTTCAGCAGACACTCCACAACCATGAGAGTGTTGCCAATCTTCTCGGTGTCATCGCGACCAAGGCTCGCGGCTCGCTCCATCAGCGCGGTCAGGGTTGTCCTTGACACAGGGACATAGTAGGTCCTGACCTTTCGGGCGTCTTCCTCCGAATCGTCGAGCAACGTGTAAAGGAAGTCAACGGCCACGTCCAAACACGCGACGCGGTCCTCCTTGAGCCTCTGCATTACATGCAGCACGTCAGCGGGGACTTCGCCAGAGGCTGGGCTTGGTACCTTTTCAAAGGAGAACATGCCGGAGATGTACTCGTCAATCGAGGTTACGCCGAGCTGTCGGAGCGTGGGCAGAGCCACGGACTTCGCCTTTGCATCAGTGATGATGCTGACCAGAGGCATGAGCGCCTGGTGTCCCGTCGTCAGATGAAACCAGGGATCACTGACGAGGGACAAGAGCGTCGTCAGGCCAAGGCGGGTCTCGGCAATAAGCATACGTGCGCGTGTGCCCGCTGTGCACAGCGTGGTGAGCACCTGCGTCATGTACCACGCCATGTCGCCACTGGCGCCGTCCCTGCCCCTGGCGTGGCGCCGGAGAAGTCCAAGCAGCACAGGTATGGCGTCAACCTCCAGCACACTCTCCCAAATGGCTTTGTACGGTACAAGCATTTGCAGTTGCATGGCTGCCGACACCTCCAAGTCGCCGACGTCCCCGCGCCACTGCATGGCCTGGAGAATCACGCACACCAGGAGATCCGCGTCCGCCTTTGTTGGCGGTTTGACATATACCTTGCCACAGCCACAGAAGCACATGAGCCCTGGTTGGTCGCGTTCATCTGGGGAGCGGGCACCTGAGGAAGAAGCTGCGTCTGAAGGGCGTGCGTCTGGGGTAGCTGCATCTGAAGCGCGTGTGTCTGGGCAAGCTGCGTCTGAGGAAGATGCACCGCAGCCATCACCCACAAGCATCTGGCCGATGAGCGTAAGCCTGGCACACGTCTCCTCGCTTGGGGCGCTAGTTTCCAGCATCTGCCTGACCTTGGTGATGAGGTGCCGCATCAGATCCCAGCACATTTCAGTCGCCAACGGCACGGTGACGCACGTCCCAGACTTTGGGTACCGTTTCAGGAAGCGCCTGGCAGCTGTAGCCAAGTCGTCGATGCAGGAAACCGCCCCGTACTGTCCCCGCCCTCGCTCCGGGAGCCTGTGTGTGAACAGCATGTTGCTGAGCGCCCGCCAGATTAGCGTCTTCTCGGGCACCGTGTACGTCATGTCTTCGATCGTCGAGATCAACCACTGCCAGTACTTGGAGGGGATGCAGAACAAGATGATCTTGCCCTGGTAGAGGAGCGTATCCTGCATCAGAAGGGTCCCAAGCAGCACAGCCCTCATCTTCTTCCTCTGCTTGGTGTCGTCCGCTTCGTCCTGCGCTTCCGCTGGCGCCTCCCAGAACTCATCCACAGCAGCCTTCACCAGCAGCCCTTGGTCAAAAGACAGGGATTTCATGTGCTTGTCCATCCAGTTGTATATGTCGTTCCCCAGTGCCATAGCCACCTTCGTGATCACCTCCAGCGCATCCTCCGTCTTGGTGGGGTCACGGTCGGCGATCATCAGGCGATGGAGCAGCACTGTTGGGAAGGGCTCGGCCAGTGCCTTTGGCGCCACCAGCTCGTGCTGGAGTGCGAGGTGGGCGACATCGGCGACAAAGTGGACCATAGCTTGTTCGTTGAGCCGCGTCATGGCTGACCGCCCCATCAGCTGCAAGGCAAAGTCGATGTCGGTGAAGCAGGTGCGGAGCACGTGGTTGGGCACCGCCTCCGCCAAGGTGTACACAAACGCGATGGCCACAGCAAGCACCAGCGGAGAGCCAGAATGGTGAAGCATCGTCTTGAGAAGGATGTCCTGCAGATCGCAGCCTTGGACCAGGGACTCGCACTGGGCAGCAGTTGAATTCCTGACGCACACCGTCGCCGCAGTGTAGGCTGCCAACATCACGCTCACGGAGGACTTGGCCTCGCACGCAGAAGCGGTCAGCACGCGCATCACAATGGGGCGGAAGGTGTCGACACCCCAGTCCTTGGTGACCAGGGCAGTTACGAGCATCGCGTAGCCAGCGGGAGGCACGTCCGTGTGTGCATTTTCCACAGGCAGCGCCCTGGTGATAGTGGCGCACAAGTCGTCGGGCCCCAACGCCTTGAAGAAGGCAATGCGTTCACAGCAGCTGATCCAATGCGTGTATGTGGATTGGAATTGCTCTCGCAGGTCGTCGGTGAGGTGCCTGCCAAAGAGACTCTCCACCGTGGGCGGCGTACGGCTAGCATCGTCTTTTTCCTCCATGGCTACAGGAGCGGCGCAGAAAGAGACGAGACTTTGGGAAGGGGCGGGCTCTGCTGGTAGTCGTGTCGAGGCAAAAGAAAGGGGGGGGGTTGTCGTTGAAGACAGAGCTGACAAAGAAGGGAGCTGAAGAGAGGAGGGGGGTGGGGTGGCAAAGGGACGTGTGTGTGTGTGCGTTTTGATCGAACGGGTGTCTGTTGTCGACAAGAAGGCACGGAGATGGGACGCTCGACAGCTCGACAGAGCAGAGAAGAGAACGCAGAGAATAATGATGAATGAACACAGGGTAGTGTTACGGGTCATCTAATAAGTGTGCTGGCTGAGGAGCGCCAACCACACAGACCCCACACATCACGCTTAGTGAATTGGGGAGGCGCAAGAGGATGCATGTGTTGGCAACGATGGGTCGTTGCCAACACAGCCTCACAGGAAAGAAGCGCAGAAGCAAAGCCAAGAAAGCTTTCGACAGAGTAGCGACAAATTGAGAGCAGGAAAGAACAAGACAGGGTCATCTGTCGAGAGGACATGAGCAAAAAATTTGCAGGGGGTGCACCCACTTTTTGTTAGCCCTCGTGGGGTTGTACATACGCATGTGGTGTTTGTGTGTGTGTGTGTGTGTGTGTGTGTGTGTGTGTGTGTGTGTGTGTGTGTGTGTGTGTGTGTGTGTGTGTAAATCGTGTGTGCGTGTGGGCGCGCGCCTTGATTGATCGTCACCCCACCACACCACCGCCGCCAACCACACCCCGTCGTTGTGACCCCTGTGTCGCTTGCGTGTAATGTGCGCGCATGGCATGGCTCACACCAACGCATCTGCCTTGAGCACCAGCAAACAAAAAGTTCTGTGACAGGCAACACATGTACAAGCAAGCACACAGGCCAAACACACACAACCTGAGAAACAAAGGCAAGCAATCAAACGAAAAGGGGCATGGAAAGGGATTCAGAGTGACGCAGTGGCGCTGCCGACAATGATGGCGCATCACAGCCATGTATGCGCCTATTGGGCGTGCTCCTTGGTCGGGTACTCGTTCGGGTACTTCTTGATATGCTCGAGCATCTCCTTTTCCTGTGCAGCACAAAGGGAAGGGGGAAACGTAAGTGTAGCAGGAAGCCAGGTGTGAGCCGAGACAACAGCGACAGCTAACCAGGGAAAGTGCGCACGCAAGACCACTCGTGATCACACGCACGGCATTTCCATGTGTGTGTGCATGTGTGTGTGTGTGTGTGTGTGCGTAAGTGTGTGTGTGTGTACACAAGCCGAACTGACCTGCTCCACAAGGCGGGCTGGCTTCACGTCGTACACGTCCTCGAACATGTGCGACAGCGAAGGCTTCTTCTTCTTCTCCGCAGCGGCAAACGCCTGGCGAACCTCCTTGTAAATCTCCTGCTCACAGTGAACGTACATCGAAGGAAAGGGAGAGGAGAGAAGCAGGAGGGAGGAGGTGGAGACAGGGACACGCAAAGCGTCAGCAAAGCAAGAACATTGAAGTGTGTGTGTGTGCGTGTGTGCGTGCGTGTGTGTGTGTGTGTATCGGAGCATGCAGCAAGACCACAGCAACGGGCCGTGCCGTTCCTGTTTCCCTTCCCCCGCACCTCTTGCAGCGCTTTCTCCTTGTCATCGTCCCAGAGGTTCTGGTTGCGCAGGTACTTCTGCAGGCGCTCAATGGGCGTGTCCTGCTGGAAAGAGCTCACTTCCTCGGCACCTGCGTTGGATATGCGACAAGCATGTTGGGGTCAGGAAGGCAGTCTTGGTGCAGGTGAACAGGCATGCAGGAAACGGAACGGGCACACACATACACACAGGCAGGCAGACAGACAGGTACTCACTCACACACACACACACACACACGCACACACACACACACACACACAAGTACATCCATCGCATGCACGTATGTACCGCGGTAGGTGGTTGAATCATCGCTGGTGGAGTGGTGACCAATGCGGTACGTCATGGCCTCCACGAGCACAGGCCTGTGGGTGCGAAAGGTGCCCCAGTTCACACGTGTTGACGGTTAGCGCAGGCGTTGGGGGGGGGGGGGAGAACGAATGCAATGGAGAGCACACAACACACTGTTGCATGCCACATGCAGCACACCGTACGGTGCGACACACACACACACACACACACACACACACACACACGTATACAAGCGTGTACCATGTATGATTATTGCACGCACCTCTTGTTGGCGATGGTCGCCTCGCGTGCGGCCTTGGTGGCGAGGTAGACTGCAAACACGTCGTTGCCGTCAACGCGGATGCAGTCCATGCCGTAGCCAGCCGCGCGGCTCACTGGCACACACACACACACATAGAGGCGGCGCGTGGTGGAAATGGGGCGCAAGTGAGAAAGGTGCAGCGGGTGACGTGCATACGGCTCTATGTGCACGTGCAAGCGTGTAGAGAGAAAGGCAGGTACGAGCACACACAGACAAAGACACACACACACACACAGACACACAGACACACACACACACACAGACACAAAACACACACACACACAGACACAGACACAGACACAGACACAGACACACACACACACACACACACACCGATGCCGTCGCCGCGGTACTGGTCGTGTGTTGGGGTGGAGATGGCGTAACCGTTGTTGCGGCTGTACAAACAAGCAAACAAACAGTATGGGTAGTGGTGGCGGAACTGTGAGATTCAGGCAGCGGCAAGCGAGGAGACATCACAAAACACAAAACACAAAACACAAATCACACACACACACACATAGACACTGATGCAGACACACAAAGCATCGTGACGCCCATGGCCAGCGGTGACGGACCAGAAGAAGATGACGGGGCAGTCGAGGGTGGCGGCAAAGTTGAAGCCGGCATGCGCATCGCCCTCGCTGTTGGCGGCAGTGATTGACGCACGCACAGACACGGTGAGCAGGTTCACAATGCAGAGGTGAGCATGTAAGCATGCGTGTGATGTGACACACGCACATATTCAAGTATGCACGCACATGTACACAAATACACAAGTAGACCAACACACACACACACACACACACACACACACACACACACACACACACGAAGCCTCTCTTTCTCTACACACCTGGCAGCACCCTCGCCAAAGTAGCAGATGACGCAGTTCTCCTTGCCCTTGGCCTTGAGTGCGTAGGCAGCGCCGCTCGCTGGCAGCACGAGCGTGTAACAGCAGCGGGGGGGGGGAAGTGAGGCAGCGCGACAAGACACAAGCACAAAGGGTGCATACTTGACAGCAGCGAAAAGGTAGAACACACACAAACACACACACACACACACACACACACACACACACACACACACACACACACAAAGTGCTGTACGGCCACCTTGTGGGATCTGGGTGCCGAGCGGGGAGGAGATGGTGTGGAAGTTGAGCTTGTGCGAGCCGTAATGAACGGGCATCTGTGGACAGCAAGAAGCAGCAATTCAAAGCACATGGGATGTTAACGTGAGCCTTTGCTGACAACAACTCCCTCATCCCGTGTGTGTGTGTGTGTGTGCGTGTGTGTGTGTGTGTGTGTGTGTGTGTGTGTGT